GACTAACCATGATCTGCATTGAGCAGTAAGTATAAGCCAATCTAAATTATTTCCAAATATTCTAGTACCATACAGTGGGAAACAAATACTGAATATTCTATAAAAATAATTTTAATTTTTAATTAAAGATTGCAGAAAGATAGAAGCAGATGTGTAAAATAGTTGGAAATTTGAAATGTTTCTCTGCAGAGAATTAAAACATTAAAGGGTTCTTGCTTTTATGAATATGTAATACAATGATAGATCAGATACTTAGAAGCAAAAGATGCCATCTGAGATAAACAAAACGTGTCCTGTACATAAGCCAGTAACAGAGAAAGTAACACTCTTCTATTTAGCACTTTGATGTAGAAATCCACAAAACAACAGAGTAAAACAGTTTCCTCCTTCTTCTGGAAATAAACTTAGTCTCTTTTTAAAATTACCCTGAAGCACTATTTTTTGGTGTCAGTTCAGACACCATCAGCTGATATATAAGCAGAAAATCATTAAATGTCAGCAAACGTTGTTGAACACCAAAGTCTACTGTGTTCTATGGAATTTGATTAGTAGGAAATATAAGACCAATCCTGCAAAAGTTTCTTAAGAGAGATCAGCAAGTGCAACCAATCCTGAAGACCTTAGTCCAGTGTTACTAAGGACTGGTACCTAAAATGGAGGACCTCAAAAGTGATAATTTCACTTAGAAAGTCAGGAATAACTTAAAGTCACCTTGTTCCTTCTGTTATCAGTGAAGTCCCAAATTCTTTGATTGAGCTTTCTGTCCATGAAAGAGCAACATGTGCAATTATGAACTACTCCACTGTGCTTTCTCAGCCTACCCCTGAAATGACTTACAAAGGTAGCTGATGTATTATTTTGACAAACTACAATATGAGTAAAATCAGAGTAGTAAGGCTTAAGAATTACTTTAATTGGTTCATTGCAAGTAGGCTTGATTTCCTTTACACTTCAATGGAAGAAGAACATGCATGTAAATAGCACAGCGACAAACTTCGACGTTTGCTCTGTTGTGATGCTATACATCTTAAGTCATCTGGTGGTAAATACAGGATTTAAATAAATAAATACATGCCCTGCCTATAGGATTTCATTAATGAACTATTTTGCTTGAAGAATACTTCTGTGTATTTAACTATAACGGAAGATTCTTAGGTAGTGCAGAAATTGTTACATGGAAATACAGCATTGCCTCCTATTGTTGAAGGAAGGGCTCACAAAATTTGGATATAATTTAGAAGTGACTACCACTGAACATAGGGTTGCAAAGGATTGATAAGCTCTTCAGGACAATAAAAGAATGGAATAACTGTAGTGATGAGCAAGCCCAGCATATTTAGAGTCTGGTTAGCATAGCTATGATTTGTGTCAGATGAATTGCGTAGATAATATCATTACATTTAGAATTACTTATGTTGTGGTTTATGTCCAAATGTCAATTTTATTATAGGATTTTGAAGTCTTAAAACATCGCTGGAGATTAATTTTGTATTTCAAAGCTGCTGTAGATGGATAGATAAGTAGATTTACAAATATTGGTCTATGCCTGTTTAGAAACTGTCAAAAATGTCTGCCTCTTCTTACTTATCAGTACTCTTCCTCTTCTGTTCTCCCTCCTATAGTTCTGTAGTAAAGCCTGTCTCTTTGAGCATTTCCTAGTTCATATTCAAACCTTTCCAACTGCCAGGTTACTATGTAACTCCTCATCTTCGCAGTTACTTTCTCTTAAAATATTTTCATGCCTTCAGCTATTTTCAGTTTAGCACTCTAAGCTCTCCTTTCAGAGAAGAAAAATCCCACCTGGCTCTGATCGAATGAAGCATCCTAGTCAGAGACAGCTTTGGCTAGGGGATTGTGCTTCTACCATAACTCCTTGATGAGGTGTTTTTTTTCATTCAGAAATATTTGGCTTCTTGGTCTTTCATAACATTTGATTCAATTCTAATCACGTTGTAGTTTTCTTCAGGGTTCTGTTGTGGAGTAATAACAAGTGCAGCAGAAATTAAAGCAGTTCCTAGGCAGGATACGTGTGAAAACAAGCTAAAAAGTGTACAGTCACACTGTGCTGCATACCTCAAATTTTGACACGTTGCTCTCTTTCTAGAGGCATCAGTTTCTCTGCCTCACCATTTTCTCTGAAGATACTGATGGAAAAACATGGTAGATTGAACATTAATTCTGGGACTATGAGAAGGGAATTCAGGCCCCCTCACTTAAAGACGTCCTTTTTTCCCCCCCCGAGAGCAGAATAATCCTTAAAATGTTACGTGCGCATACTGGAACCTTTGAAGCACTCCCTCCTCAAAGTAGAGTCCTGTTTAATTAAGGCTGAAGGGGGCAAACCTATTTGTTTTATGCAGTGAGGTAGCTGCTCCTTTCCTCTGTTCTCTCTCTTATCCTTGTATCCATCCATGCATTATCTTAAAAAGGAGAGGAAAAAGAGGCCTATGTCCCTCATAATACTGAAACTTGGTATGAGGGGAAACACCGACCAAGCATGTGAATGTAGTTTGGCAAAGGTGTTCTTGCAGAAGCAACGTTATGTAGGAAGCAACATAACAGCAACATTTCAGTCACCCTTGCATGAAAATCAGAGACAGGCATTATGTGCTTGATTAGATTAAAAAGGTACCATTTCAGATTGCAAGTAGAACATTACCTGAGTAAGCCAGGTGCTAAAATGCCAGCACATATTGTCACTAAACTGCGTGTTCTCATGCCTGGGGCTTTTAATGCACCATATGAGGAAATCAATCAGCTCAAAAACAAATCCATGAAAAGAGAATGGGAGTACAAAAACGCTCCAATACAAAAAGCCTCAAGTAGGCTCAAACATGGTAAATCTATTATATACCCAGTGTGAGACATCTCAGACAGTGACTACAGGATTGCATCCTGTAGTGTCACTTGTCCATTATTTATCATTTCGAACCCAATTGCTATGGTCAAACTCAGTCTCTATCACAAAATAATGTTTCTTATATCTGCACTCAAAGTAACCCCAGAAGTTGTGCAGTGGTTACAGAGTTGCTTAGAGGATCATGTCCTGCACCTTGAAATAAATGGACGTTTTTCCAGAATAATACGCACAGAACTGGACTGTACCTGACAAAGAGATGAACATCTGAAAATCTCACCTCCTTAAAATGGCATCAGTACCACGAACAGCATTTCTGTGACTCACGCAGTTAACAGTTGCTACGGAGTTCCTGTAAGGTCTGTCTTCTCCAACTCTGTTATGCAGATTTTGCTGATATTTTTTCCATTGCTGATGCCTCTGAAATGCTTTGGAAGGATCAGAGGAAAGGGAACAAAAATATGCTAGTTGTGATTGCATTATGTAATTAGTGGAATAGCATAAAGCCAGCATCAGCCATACCGCTAGTCTCCTTAGAGAGTGAAAAGTAGCCATAAGGCCGAAGGGTCTGAAGTTGTGTTGAGTGACCATTGTATCTGTCAAAAATGGACCTGCAGTCATACAGAGCTGAGCTTTCAGCCAGAAACTAGATGGTGCTAGTGAAAATTTTGACTACTTTATCTCGGCTTCATAAAACATTCTTTTGTTTTCGGTACTAACATTTTTCAACTTTTTTTGCCAAACTGATTCTTAAAAATTTTTTTTAAAAAAAATCCTTGTTAGCTTATGTCATATTCTTTTTAAAATATCACTTTCTTTAGTTTTACTCACTTGTCCAACAATTTCACTTTGCATAGTAAATTGTTCTGCATCCTATAAGTACATACTACTTCACTCCCTTTGCACATTCAGGTGCTAATACATCAGTAGATAGACTTTCATCACCAGACCACAGCTATCTAGAGAGAGAGAACAGCCTTTGAGAAATCAGCACTGTGCTCACTAGCATCAGTGATTATGAACACCTTAACACTGGTGCACAATACAGTAACAGGTTTAAAGGTTGCCACAGAACGATATTGAAATATCATTCTTCAAGGTTCAAGGTCTACTGCTAGAAGTCGTAACTAAAATCTTGATTTAAATCTACTTGTTACCTTTTTCTAAGATAAGCTTTAAAAATGCCTTTGGAGATTTTTTGTTGCTGTTCATAGTCGAGATTAGATTGTTGTTGAACTATTTAAAGGTTAGTTAAAGGCTTGTATTAAAAAGTACAATTTAAAGGTGACCTTAAAAATCTGTTTAATAAATGGGACCTTATGCTTTTGTTGTATTTTTAATAAGGTTTTAGAGTAAGGTCACTACGGATGCTTTGGTTTTATATCCTGCTCCATGTTGGATACATTAGCTGAGATGCACTCAATTTACTGAAATATTTTGTTCAGCTGTCAGTTTATCCTTAGTTTGAGTCCCAGTAATAAGGTGTTCAGCAAAGAACGGTTTCTCTTCCATTACTCTCTGACTCTACAGACATGCTAAGAAGTGATCAACTATTTGTTATTACGTAACCGCTGCTTCTGTAGAAGATACTGTAGAAAACTCTAATCATTAACATTATTAAGTAATTGTTTTTTGTGAAATAGAATGATTGCTATGACATTGACTAGAACATTAGTTGTGCCTGAAAGTTTTTGGATAGGTGTCATTTTTCAACTGGGGAAGGGTATCATGCGGAAGCTAACAGGACTTTTATATGTGATGTACGAGGACTGCAGTTTTTCACCTAACACTTTTAAGTAACAAAGGCCCCAGCCAGCTCTGCAAGGTAATAAAAGCTGTTGCGAACTGCTGAGTGCTCTCAGTTTGGACTGTCTTCTCTGATGTCCAGAGTGTTCAGCATTTTGCAGCAGCAAGTGGTTCTGTTTCATGTAATGTAACTGTACTGCAGTGTCTGCAGAACCGTAGGGGTCAGCTGTCATACCAGAAAAGAGACCCAATGCTTTTGACTGGGGACCAAGGTAAGAAAAGAATCAGTGCCAAACTGTGCTGCAGCCTGTTTAGGGGAAGAACGGTGTTGCCTGTTTATAATTCTGTAAGAAAACAAATAAACACATGACTTTACTTGTCATTTCTGTATTTCCAGTAACAAAGAATACACGAAGAGTAAAACTAAGAGAAGTGACCGTGGTTAAAGAAGAGCACTTTCTGCACTCCTGATTTAAGAAGGAGGAATTTGCTGAGCCTAATAGACAAAGAGTCATAATCAACTGAACTTATTCTAAGAACTATCAGGATCTTTGAACCATAGAAAGGATGATGGAGTTGGCAAAAATGACGTGAAACATTCCACACTGCTATCATCTGCTGTTGCTTGCTGAACTGTGAAGAACTGTGTATTCAGGCTGCTTTCTACTCTATTGCCGATCACCTTTTTTGGACTTGAAAGTGATATTTTCTTATCAACTCTCTAGTGGTTTCATTTGCATGTGTTCTGTAACTATGCACAAAGCAAAATCTATTATCTGCTTTACCTGTTTAAAAATAAGCACAGTGGTGAATAAAATAAATTTAATTTGTTTTGACCCTTCCATTCTAATCACTTAGGTCCATGTCAGTGGAAATTGGAATTTGTCATACAAGGGTTAGGGTAAACCTCTGCACATACTATATGAAAATGAGCCTCTAAAGATATTTTCACTGTTAGTGAAAAGGAGAAAAAAAAAAAAAAAAGCTATTTATAACAAGGCCTTATGTTGTGTACATATATTGCCTTTGAAATATTTTTGATTTTAGTTTATTGTAAAAGAGAAATTATATAATTTATTTAGTAAATACTACTGTAAACTATAGTTTTATTGATGAATAAAATATTTTGTTCTCAAGACTATCACAGCTGTCAACCTGCTTTTGATCTGTACAGGACCTACTGTTCTGGTATTTCCCTACCTTCATGAGATGGTCTTGAGAGGCATGTCAAGACATATGACAACTACTCTACAACACGGCATCTGTCTTTATCTTCTACCAGCTCGATAATGAAGGGTGGAATCTTGAAATTAGAGCAGCAAAGGCAAAGGAACATACTCAGCAGGCATTGCTTCATAAAAGCATTTCAGGCTTTTCAGTATGGGCAATCATTCTAAGATAACTATAGAAACTGTTCTGGTTTCCTTAATTCCCCTAGCAGCAGAGAGATAATCCCAAACACCAGTGACCATCAATCCAAGATTTCATGCTTCAATGCGGTGGTGTAGTTAAAAACTACACAGGTGTCACTTTGAAAGTTTATGAAAATTATTGGTAATAACATTTCTTCGAGGAGGAAGTGTAGCAAACTTGCAGGATTGGCAAAACCAGAATTTGGCACTTTAATTTCTAGAATTATGCTTTGTACCTCTGAAGAATTTTTCATTTCAGGTTTCGGTGGGGGTTTTTTGTTGGTTTGTTTGTTTTTTTTTTTAATTTTGATGTAATCCTATAACCCTGACAAGGAGGAGGGTGGTATTCCTTAATTATGCACAGAATAGAGAAATTGAAAGGTTATTTTTTTTCCTCTAAGTATGTAGAGTCTCTGGTGTAACTTAGAGCCTGTGTCTCACGATTACCTCTTTTCCAGGCTTTAAAATTAGATTGCTTAATCTCAGCAAGATAATTCTGCAGCATTCCTCTGCAAGAGACAAATCTGCATGCCCTGTGAGCAAAACCATTTTGTACATTTATGTGAAGTGTCTGCTCCTTCATGCACAGTGTATAGCATATTTAGACTGTGACTCTATGCAAAGTAGATATTTCTGATTACTCTTATTTGGGGAAAAACGTGACATTTCTTAGTTTAAGCACCAGATTAACTCTCATAAAGCATGTACATGTCACTTTTTTCCCAATTACCTAGCAGACTGTCGTGTCTGAATCATTTGTCCTTAGGAAGACCCCAGAGGATGCACAACTTAAATACAATTCTGTCCAAAGCCAGAATGTCTACACTAAATGATTCAGACACTGAGCCATCCTTTGCGTACAATCCCTTTAACACAGTCATTTATAAATTAAAACAGGCATTTAATACTTGTGAAAGAAAATCCTGTATAGACTATGGAGCCTACTGGGAAAACCTTCTCCAAAGCATGTGCACTTACTTACACGTCGTGTGTGTGTCTGTGTGTGTGTGTCATGCCTGAGTATTTCATTTTTCATCTTGCATTGGTAGCACTCTGAAGAAAATGTAATGACTATTAAACATATCTATAAAGCTGATGAGGCAGTGCATGTCAAGTAAAAATAAAATCTATACAGACGGCATAATCAACTCCCTGGGGTATTAAAGTAATGTATTGGTCTGTTTCTCCAGGTCTAAACAGATGGAGCTCACCACAGGGAGCAAAATTTGAAGAATTAGGTCACAGACGTGGGCTCTCTGTGTGCAGTGGTATCTGAATACTCTGGCCCTGCAAGCTGCCCAGAAGGAAAAAGCACAGGTTGATACATGCTTAGAGAAAGGCAGGGAATATCTCCACATTTATGTATCTGGCCCTGTGACTTAAACGTATGGCATTCAGAGGGCGAGTTTTGCCTTTGCTGGTAGCGTGTAATAGTTGTCCTCAGTTTAAAAAAAAACAACAACTTCATGTCCTTGTACTAGAATTCAACAGTTTGAAAATACTGACACACCTATCCTGAGATCTGTTTTCTTGTTGACTATGCTTATACTTCAGGCAATTTAATTTCATGTAACACAATGCCATTTTCCCAAACCCTGAACACTAGACTGCAACAGAAGAGTAATCAGTAGTGCACTCCACCTATCCTTTGTAGAAGCCATTTGCTGACCTGTTTCCAGTGATGCATGCGTTTGTTTGCAAGAAGAAAGATAGCAGCTTTTTCCAGACTGAAAGTGTGGGGCCTGACCCTGCAGCTATTTTGCAGCTGGAACTGCTTCACAGTTATTTTACACCAGCCTAAAAAGATACTGATACCAAAGTCCTGTGGTATGAACAACATTAACCTAAGGGACAAGGATCAAGATGAAGAATATTAAGAAATCATTGTTGAAATTCCAACCCCTAACTCAGGCCCTTTTGACGTTGTGTGAATGACCCTCACTGGTAGTAGCGTCCTGTAAAGTTCATTAACTCAAACATTGTTGAAAATTTTTTTGAAAGATTTGGTAAGTGAGATTGCTAATACCAGAGAAAATAATTAATCTGCACTAATTCATCAATTTGTCATTAACTTAGAAACAAGAGATGAACATTTCCTATTGAGAGTTGCATATGACCTTGGATGATTAGAGAAAAATCACTGTGGAACTACCTGGATAGTACCAGAAAATATCTTCTGACGCTCTTTTTATAGGAATGGCAAGGTATGTAAACAAGCACCATCTTTTACTAGATGAAATGCTACATAAAAGAACAAGCATTCCTCCATTCTTCCAGCTGCTTTCCCCTCTCCCCACCAAGGTATGAAAAAGGAATTGTTTACTTTACTAATGCATTCTGTGGTCTGATAAAAGTTATTTCTCCCTATAGGCCTTATCTCAGTATGTAGACCATTACAGCTGCAAAAACATAACGAATTTCTTCCAGAAGTGATAAGAACATGGGCTGGTCGTCAAGGAACTAGAGAGTATCTTATATCTGCTTGATGTATAAAAACTTCCCTCACAAAATGCAACAAGAACACAGACCCCCACGAGGTCTGAGGGAAGATACTGGTAAAAAAGAAACGCACAGGACTCTGCTGGAAAGAGACAAGAGGCTGACTAAGCTAGATAATATGGTTTGGTACAGAGAACTCTTAATTACAACAGACGTCAAAGTCTCAGTTGAAATTTGCACAACCAACTCGAATTGTCTGGGCTTTTGCCCCTTGTGTGGTACAAAATAATTTCAGCTTAAAGAGAAAAATAATATAAATCTTGGTGAGAAACTTGACAACTTATTCTCTAAAGCATTGCAAGATGCCAGCTGCTTACTTGAGTGAGAGTTTTAGAAATGTAAAAATCCATCACACAGTAATCAGTGGTAAGCTTCTTAATACTTGTATGCTTTACATATTTATGATTTTACCTGGAACTGTTGCATCCTGCAGTCCTGTCCTATGGAAGGATCTGAAATGAAATCTCTCTCTGTTCCCACAGAAAATGTTTTTTTTTAAGAAACTTTTTTATCAGAATGATTTCTTATCTCTCACCTCCCTAGTAAGCCTATTTTATTTTTTAGTTTAAGTAACAATAAAAGATGTCTAGCTGAGACTCCTGACATCCTCACATATCATTAATAATAAGATATCACCAGCATGTAAATAACTCAGTAGGAACTTAGTCAGTCAGCTACATAAATTCCTTTCTCTTTCTTCACTGCTTTTTGAAGCACACCATCAGAAATTCTATCAAACATATGTCAGGTGTGATAAACGATGTGCTTTATTTTCCCTTTACTGTCTCAGGGTAACATTTCACCTACAGGAGGTAATGGATCAGAATACTTACAGAAAATACTGTCCTAGAATGGGTCCCTGAGTGGATGCTATATTCTGTAATAACGTGCCTTTCCATGGACTCAGGTATTCACACAGCCAAAATAGCTCCTGGAGAAACCGATGACTGTCATCTCAAGTAGTCCATATGAGCTGCTCACATCAGTGCAGTTACCTAGAATTAATTAAATGCAGTTAACAGGAATTGGAATCTCAACAGCTTTTTTGAGTGAGCTGCAGCTGCTCCGGTTTTGGGGTGTGAATCCACTGTCCAACTGGCCCGTTGCAGAGATTGAACCCAAGATACTAGCCCTGGTCCTTGTCCCATTGCTCCCTCTCTGTACTGCCAGTGTGTCCTGCAGTTCTTGTCCTAAGTTGTCAAGAAAGGGGGAATCCCTCTCTATTACTGCTTAGGTCTGGAAAAGCTGTAGATACTGTACTTTGAAAGTCTGCCAGAGAAGAGGACAGGAACTGTAGAACAGCACAACTACAGCAAGTGGATCCTTACCATGCCGCTTAGGAAATGACTGTGATTCCAATACACTCTCAATAGCTCAGGCTGCTCAAATTAGACTGCTGTCAGCACCGGTGGTGCGTAGGAACTGTCTGCATGTCACAATCGCTAGTCCTTGCAAGGCAGAAATAAATAGAAACTTTCCTTTGCCCTGCCTGGGATTTTTTTTTTTTTTTTTCAAGCGGTGAAGGCAGGTGGGCAGCGTTGTTTGCAATTTCTGTCCTTTCCAGGGTCCAGCTCCTTGTAAATCTACGCGACAAGATCGCTTTGCCTGAACAGGTACCTGCAGAGACTCACCCACGAGCAATTATTCCCCGGTCTGAGAACAGCAGCCGAGGTAAAGGTGCACAGCAGTAGCAGTCATGTTACCAAGTGACTGTCGCAGCTACTTGTCTTTATGATACCCGCCAGATTCGAGATCCCCAAGTTCTCCTAAGCAGGCAAAACAAAGCCTGAACAGTACAGCAGGACCCAGCACCTCGCTTTTCTAGGTTACAGCCTTGCTGCGCGGTGTTGAGCGGTGCCTGTGCGGGGGGAAGGACGCCCTCCCCCTCTGCCGGGCCGATGGGGACAGTGCCACCTCCTGGAAAAGGCTCGTCGTGGAGAAGGGCCGTACTCGACTCCCCGGCAGCCTTCTTGTCTCCGCAGCAAACCACCTGGATTTAATTTAGTCTGGCTGTACCGCGGCTGAAGTCACCAGGGACTTGGGGGGGGTGGTGGAAATCCGTTTGTCTCCTTCAGGGGCGCGTACCCGGCTGTGCGCCGGCGCCAGGCGCCTTCCCCGGGCCGAGCGCTGGTGCCCGGCGCCCGCCCCCCGGCGGCTGCACAGGCCGGCGCCCC